TAGCCCCCGAAGGACATGGCCTGACGGTCATGAGATTATCAATTCATCAAGTCGATAAAGTGAGACATGGAGGAGACTGTGAGACTGGGGACTGACATGAACTGCAACAAAGCATGTGGTTCCCTGAGCAGTCACAGTTGTCTCTGAGTGTTTATCAGAGGGCATGAAAATCGACTTAATGAAATGAAAGGTTGTGCTGGATGGTGGACGTCAACATGCCGCCCCTCCACTCCCGCCCACTCTAACTCCCATTACTACCATCTTACCTAGTAGTGGAACCAGGCGATGTCGCAGAGGATCGTCCTATGATAGCAGAGAAAGAACAAATGTAAGCGACATCGGAAAAAGGATAAAAACAAAATTGAACTGATTTTTAAATGTGATGCTCACCACATCAGCAGTGGACTGCCTAAAGGCACTAGGGCTTTGGTGTGGAGTGTTACCAGAGGACACTGCAGTGGGCAGGGCTGACAGGCTGGTTTGGGATGAACTGGTTGTGTTGGGAAGACTGTCTCCCAGCCCTCGGTCCTCGTCCTCCAGGGGAGGTGACTTGGTTATACCGACCTGGGTCTCCTGCAGGAGGGGTCTAGACTCCGGACGAGTCTCCTCGCCCTCCAGTCCTGCATTCTGATCATTTTGTCTCTCCTCAGCCGTTGCTCCGGTCTCATACTGTTAGGAAGAAACTCAAAGGTTGAATATATGGGACGACTTCAGGGTATCGGGACAGCTTATGTGTAAACGTAACAAGAATAACATATAACATGAAAGGAGGAAAGGACTTACAATTGGAATTTTTACAATTTCACTGGAGTCACACTGGCTCTTTGAACCTTTTGGAACACAGACAAACATTATGAATATTTTATAGTAGTTCTTCTTGAACTATGAGTATGTGATGTGTACTTACATTGCCCACAAGACCGCTGCTTGAACACAAACCACCAGATGGCCAGTACAATAAGAGATATGATTAGAATAATGACCAGGGAAACACAAACGGGAGTAACTGGAAAGAAAACAATCAGAATGAAATAAGTAAATACAACAAAAACAAACAAAAAAAAAATCTTTTGTGCTGTAAACTGTAGCCTGCGTGTTCACTGTGGAAGTTACCAATGTCTCCTGGTGATGACGGGGTTGATGTGGGAAGTACTGGGGATGTTTCAGTGGGGGATGGATCCTGTTTTCGACACACGGTGTTGGAAAATGGAGTGCACTTCCTCACCTCCTCCTCTCCTTGTTTACACCTGTGAACAGAATGAATACGCTGATGTCATTTCAGCTTCAGGCCTTAATCTGATAAGCCGACGTCCCTTGGTCTCTTCAGATTTTATTTTCCTCTCTCTTTCTAACTTGTGCGCTCAGAAGGAGCCAGCAGTTATCGATTTATCAGACGAGCAGCCACATCCTCCGGAGCTACAAAAGGCGTTATTCATCATTCTCCTCACATGAAGCTCCAAAGATCGCTGAATGCACTTTGATGCCCAAAATTGTCGGAGTTCCCCCTTTTAAGCCATTAGGAGACAGAGGTCCCATCGCACTTACTTGGCTTTACGTTTGCAGACTTCACAGGCCTGGTCTGGTACACAGAAGGTTCCCTGCTTGCACTCGCACTTGGTGTCTGTTGTTGTGGTGCACGACGTGGTTTTAATCTCATCTGTGGGAGGAGGAGAGAATGGGGTGAAACCAGGGAAAACAAATCACCAACACTATTTCACGAATATATATAAAACATATCTGAAGTGAATATGGTTTTTCAGGAATTTCTCATTTCTGTATAGTTTACAGCAGTAATTCTTAACCAAAGGGCCGTGGCCCAAACTTGGGCCACCAGCGCCACTTAGAGGCCCACAAAGACCATCTTCTTCTCTACACTAGCTGCAGCAACAAGACTAAGGTGCTCGTAAATTTAACTTGTAAAGCATTGCCAAGAACCCAATGTAAAGTGTGGCACTAAAGCCCTCACAACAACAGTGACATCTAGAGACCAAGCATCAAACACTCATGGGAAAGCCGGTGGAATTTTTCCAAGAGAGAGACTTTATTTGACAAGGTTGTTAAACTGTAAGAGGAATATTTTATTATTGAATACAGATCAAACCACGAGTGAGGTCAATTAAACCTGTACAGTGTTAAGATTTAATTGGCCCCTGGGCCACTTTGTACTAGTAGTATAAAATATATATTAAAGTACAAATATTAGAGTACTTCCTGTATTGTAAGCAACTTAAAAAAAAAAAATCTGGATCCATGAATGACTCAGAACCATCAGAATTAATCAATTTAAAAGTATTTGCTTGTGGACAGACAAAAAAAGCACATTCTCCCTCTGCAAAGGTAAATATTTAGCAGTACTTTTCAACAGAAAAATAACTTAACAGACATTGAAGACGACATTGACGTTTATTTTTCAAAAGTTTCAGCGATTCCTTCAAGGCGTTGGATAAATAAAATAGGTTTAAAAATATTACATCAACCACAAAAACAGACATGAAATAAACTAAATTGAATTAGCAGAGTGACCCTGCTATCAGGGTTAATAAAATGATTTGTAAATCAAGTTTAAGTTTTTACGACTCTGCACTCGTGATTTAATAAAAATTTGATGTCACTCTATGACAAATTAATGACATGATGCATTTTCAGACTTAAGAAAAGCACGGAGGAATTAAAGGGAGAATCACAGCTTCTGTAAAAATCAGTGCCCACATTTATCCTCATAACTGTTATGTGTGTCACATGTTTCAGACAAACCTCCATTCAGTTCCAGCCAACTACTGTGCTAAGGGTGAGAACGAAGAATCCTAAATCTAGTTTAACCAGAGACTAAACAAGAGTCTTGGCAGAAACACAGGACAGCTATCTGTTAATGTGTGAGAAACATTTCCAATTCACACAGCAAATCGTCTCAGCCACACAGAGGACAAATACCTCCTGGTGGAAACACAATGCCATGGTAGGATCAACAGGGTAATGCTCCATGAGAAGAACAACGCAGGAGAACAAAAACATTAACAGAGAATGCTACGAGCAGAGCTAGAAAGGCATCAGTGAGGCAGCAAAGAAAACCTTGAGATAATTCTGAACCAGGAGAGAAGAGAAACGAGGAGGAGGAGCAAATATCTAAACACAACACACTGGGAAAAGTTAAAACAAGGCAAACTCAAAATGTTCTGAGACAGATAATTTAAAAAAAAAACTTAATCCATTCAATGATTCTTCATTTAGTTCTAACCACTCACTAACATCAGAGCATGAATGTTCAGCTTTCTGGCCTGACTTTTTAGTTCTTTTCAGATAAAAGGGAAGATTCCTTTGAAAACATTAATTAATTTGAACATGTTTCCATTTAAATCTAGTTAAAAACTGAAAAACCTTTCTCAAATTTCAATGTTTTTATGGGGGTAGAAGGTAACAAAAAAGAATAAAATGTTAAACCACACCCTTCATTAGCACTAGCATCTCAGACCTACACCAAAGAGCTGCCAAAAAAAAAGAGTTAATTGCAAAAACAAAAAAAAGTTACAAAAAAAACAACAGAAAACAAATGGAAAAAAATGTAAAATCTCATGTGTTGAAATGTTTCAGTTATTAAAATTAGACACTTATTAAAATTCCAATGTCTGCCGTAACTTTTTTAAATACTTTTTTTTACCTAATCTGGTCAAACCCTGGAACACACCACGACACCTGCTTAATCAATTTTTTAATGTGCCGAGAAGCACCTGAGAACAAAGCATAATGAAGAAAAGCAATTATTTTTACATGAACAAGTAATGTGACCACACTTAATGAAGACGTTCATTAAAGCTGTGATTAAGAGCCTTTGTAACATGACAGAGAGCATGATCGACTTCTCAGCTAATTAGTACCACTACGTTTGTGCATAAAAAAAGTTTCCAGGTTTGTCTTCTTGCCTGACTTTTGCCTTGTTGCAACTGGATAATGAGAGATGGAAAACTGGGCAGACTTTTAATGATTTCAGTTCTCAAATACTGTGGTCTGAGTCTTATTCCAAGTTAATTAAAAGCTGGCAGCGTCCAGCTCCACGGGGCGACCTTTCACATCATATCTAAGGTTCAAGCGTGCCAATTAGAGATGAAATTCAGCGTGAAGCAAAATGTGAGCAGTAATTTAACATTTTCTGATCATTAACACAAGCTTTGTTAACGAACTAACTATGTGTCGTCTTGGAGCAAGTTAGAAGTTTTTATTTAACTCCTGAAACAGAATGTTTTAATCGTGGCTTGTGCAAATTGGCAAGTCAGCTCTGTGTCCACAAGTCGGGTCCTTTCCCCCAGTTTGGAAACCATTGCATTACTTTTCCCTCCTGTTAAAACAACATCCAAAATTTTACAAATAAAGTGTTCACTTTATAACTTGGAGGGGGAAATTCTTAAGGTGTGACAGTTTGTTGTCATCTTTGCTTACGTCATAAAGACATAGTAAATGTAATTCATTAACCTCAGCACGGTTAAAGGGCAAGGACTCCAGAGTCACATGCTGGATGACTTAATGGCTTCATTACAGTTGCAAATGTGTTGAGTATATCGTAAAGCTAAATGATTGATCAGAAGATTCTGGTGCGTCTAAAAATAGAGTCAGTTTTATTACCATCATACAGTGGAAGAATACAAACACTCATGTCATGTTTTATAATATTAAACCTTCAAAAATAAATATCCGTCCCCTCATCACATCTGTCCATGTGGGTGAGGTTTCACAGTTAATTTCCATCAGATTTTCTGTTTTCTGTTATGTTTCAGTCCCACTTTCTACACTTGCTGTGTCAGCTGAGGACATCCCATTAACAAAGCCAGAGGAAACAGGCTGCAACAGTTTAGTCACATTTGGAACCAGTTTTGAGGCAAAGCGTGACTAAACTTGATAACTCGAACCACTAGTGTGATTACAGTATATCCTGACAATTGAGCTTGAAATAAAATCTGAAATAAAGCAGCGATTGTCATTGTCATCGCAGTGCATTGTCTATCTATTGCAAACACATTTATGGGTAATGTAGTCCAGGAAATAAACCTTGTCGCAACGCCACATGTTTTACACAGCCTTTGTATTTTCTTTGTTTTGTCAGCAGCAAACACTAAAATCTACCATAATCTGACAGTAGATTGTTTGTTTATTTTTTTTCTCTCTCTCTCCTAATCCTGGTCGAGTCACCAGGGGGAGCCCCCATCAGTCCCAGTTGTAATCTGACACAGTTAGCTTAAAACTTGGACAGTTGAGGAGTCAACACACAAACAACCATTCACACTCACACTTTTATCGTTGGTCAGTTTTGAGTGAACAATGAACTTGGTCCGGTCTGAGGTCCGGTGAAGGAAACCCGTACAGGAAAAGAACTCCATTAAGAGCATCTGTTTTCTGTACCACCAGGGTTTGAACTGGTGATCGTTTGCTGTAACGCAAGACCACTGACCACTGACCACTGACCACTGTTCCAACGGGTGGCTGACAGTAGGTCATTGTTCAATTACAGTTGAAGTTTTAAGGGCTCATTTAAAAACTCAACATGACACGTCCCAAAACATTCAGAGAGAAAAATAAACCCTCACATCATCTCCGACTTCATACTTTCCATTATACATCACTCCACTCTACAGAAGGTGTCGCATACTTTCACAGTAGAAAAAACAAACAAACCATCAAACATGTGAACTGTTCTTAAAAACAGCTCATTAAATCACTTAGCCTCTCGACACACTTTATTAAGGTCAGGTGACTGTTGAGCCGTACATGTACTGTCTGGAAAGGAATTTTAATGTGTACAGTATAGTGTACTGTCCTCACTGTGCACAGCCTCCACTGCAGAGTGTAGAAATATAATGGGACTAACAAGATACTCATTCATTTCACCACTAAAACGTAATTAGTGCAGTACAATACACCAATATACGAAAATAACTAGTGAATGTGACCACACCCTTGGTTAGCACTAGCATCTCAGACCTCATACCAAATATCTGCCAAAAAAGGTTAAGGAAAAAACAAACAAACAAACAAACAAAAAGTTACAAATTCTGCAAATTGGTGTAAAACCAATGAAAACAAAAGAAAACAACAGGAAACAAATGGTCACAAATCAATATCCAGCAAACAGGAAGCAAGCTGCTGTTTGAGTAGCACACATTGTTTCTTGATTGTGTTAAATGAGCAGGTGCTTTGAATAAACTTTGAATGTCGGGGGTGGAGAGGGTGGGGCCCGTTTAGATAAACAGAATATGAACAGCTTTTACTGCAAACTTCCTGCTTGATCCCACCAGATCCTTTCAACTCAATCAAAGTGGGTGGGAAAAGAGACGACCTGTGTCTCGCTCTACATCTGTAAAACCCTGCTGTAGAACTGTAACGACTACTTCATTATGTGATGATTATTTAGGTAACCCCTGAAAAGTCATAGTCTAGATGTAGAATCATCTCTCTGCTCTCTGTCAGAACTGTCTGCGGGTTGGTCTTTTTTGGGGGGTCTGTCAGAACTTAATACGTTTGTGTCGATATCCACTCAAGCATTCATTTTTGAACACACTGTTTTACCACATTTTCAATAAAAACATATTGGTGTAGTGTGTGTGTGTGTTTTTTTTACATCCTTTGTCACAGCAAATAAAACATGTCTTCCTGTAGTAATGGGCTCTGAGGCCATTCACAGTGGGTCCAATGCAAGATGAGCCCAGAACACCTGCTGCTCATCTGATAAAAAACCCTCACACATTGTGAATCATTACTGTACTTGAAAGGGTTTTAATCCTAGAATCTGATCCCGACTGAGTTTGAACAGATATTCCGATTCCACATAAAAAAAGTGACAGCTCTTCTTCAAGCCTGATGCGTGGCACAGGTGTGGCACGCCTAATTTCATTGTGCTCTTTTGTACCACTATTATAATGGAGGCTTTAGATTCTGTTATACTCTGTTGTATTCAATTCACAGTAATTTTATGAAAGAGTCTGCAGTCAGCACATTTCTGCAAAGCAGAACGTAGGAAAAAGTGGCACGACGAAGCTGGCTACACTTTTTTTCTTCTGTGTATAACGTATGCAAAAGTAGTACTGCAATATAAATTAAACACCGGCGAGGCTGTCACGAGGAAGCCCTCCAGGATCGATACTAGGATTACTTCCTACATCCTGGAAGGCCTGGGGCTACACTAACAGCCAGTGTTACTCCAGTGTTACACCTTCATTCACACCGCCATGCACATAAATAACAGTCCGTTGTCTGTTTTAAATCCACACTGATCAAACCTACAGCGATTCATTTATATTGTTACTCAGGGTTTACTACAACTAGACGTAGCAGAGCATCTGTAACAGAGGTCAGTGGTTCTCAAACTATGGCCTGACTACTACTCATACCACTAGTAGTACCTGACTTTTTTTTTTTTACCAGCACAGCTGTTGCTGTGAGTATGTGTGTCGTCATGCTTGTATTAATCTTATTCATATCCTGTGCTTAGCTGAAAAGGACAGCTCTGTGCTGCGGTATTTTAACGCTAATTATGGTGGTACTTGAAGAGCCACATATTTTTATGGGTAGTACACAGTCTTAAATGCTTGAGAACTACTAACATTATACTAGTAACAATAACAATGATTACAAATTGGGTGACGAGGGGGAGTTGAGAATGCTGCAATGTCACTGCAACGCATTACCTGGTGATAATGTGATTATAAAGTTGTTAGGTAATCTATTTTATTACATTTCCCTAGTTCTGTCACATTCCAAGGGCCATTTATTTTCCCAGTGTGTTATAAATGTATTCAATGTCCACGTTACCATGTTACTGTAGTGCATTATACTTCAGAGACAGAGCTTTACTTCTCTGGCCTACATGTACAGTCCACTCAGTTCCGTTTAGTGTGGCAAAAATATTGATTTTCTGACTTGATTTTGTACTTTTTAGAAAATGTACTTGATTGTTTCTTAGTTTGTACGTCTGCTTCAACAACCTGACGCTGTAAATGAGTTTTAACTGGAGCAGAACACACACAAAGCTCTGTTTTAAAAACCACAGCGAAAGAGCACAAAACACATCCTATGTAACACTAGTCTCTATTCTGTGGCTCCAGCCTTTCATTGGACACAAAGACAGCCAGTGTGGGAGACAATGAGACGCAGCCACACCCAGTTCACCCAGGTAGGACAGACGCACACGCAAATCTCTGGAGACAGGTAACATGTTCACATTCAGCGTGCAGAAGAAGAAGAAGAAGAAAAAAAAGGCCAACAAAGACACGCCCTGCAACCTCATGTAACATCATAAGATCACTTTTTCATGAGTCTTGTCTGTGGAACAGGGGGCGCAGACAAAAGATGTTTACTTTCTAAAACAATCTTTGGTTGACAAACTGTATTATACAGGACTGGACTTTTATGTCGTCTTAAATAGGCAGCACGGTTTCTTTTTGTTACACAACTGGGACTGATGGCACCCTGATATGACACAGCTGTTGTTCAATGCCAGCAGAACAAAACACGTCTTCATTGTTTATTTTTTTGTTTGTTTTGAAAAGGGAACTTTTTCCTGGTTTAATTTATCAAATTTAAACCGTTTTTTTTTTCTTTGCTTGTTTTTAAACTTTTTTTTTTCATTTCACACAAAGAACAAAAGAGCCACAATTTAAAAAAACAGTCTAAGTTGTGGGCTGCACCAAATTAACATTCATAAGACAGTCTAGTACTGATGATGCTTTAACCAGAAATGAATTTGAACGGACTGCAACAGACCTTTTTCTCATTAAAATAAAATAAAAATAAATTTCTAAATATTAATATCAAGCAACATAAGAATATTGTTACTCATAAAATGTTGGATACAGTATGCCTCAAAATAGAAATATAGTTTATGCTAAGTGTACACCTGATTAGAATTGGAATTAGAGAAGTCAAATTGTGAGTTTTTGTACCTGCCCTGAATTTCTTATATATACGCACACACACACACACACACACACTATTTGCCAAACTGCTTTTAACCTATCCATTACACATTAGTACAGACCTTAAGACAGCCATACACACGAGGAGCTCTGGTGGACTGCATAACATAATGCAATGGGGATTTGGCCTGTGGGCCTCGAGTCTGACACGTGGAGTAAAAGCTTCTCAGGCTAATGGAAAATGCAGCTAATATTTAAACACAATTTTGCACACATACTCACATGCACTTGGGATATACAGTGTTTAAGTATAAAAGATGAGTCACATAAATCTCAGATTCACATTGCTGTGCTTTCTGTCAACTAAGTTATAATTTGATGCTGTTAAAAAGTTCAAATATCTAGTTTGCTAACAAACAAACCATCCTTGGTAATAGAACTGTTCTCAAACTCTCAACCCCAACAAAAGACTGCGTATATGTATAACTGTTTTCAGTGACATATTCAGAAAGGTAAAATGGAGGTTGTACCTGAGCGGCAGTGTGTGCAGGGCAGACAGCGGTTCATCCCATTGGAATGCTCCGTGTAAGTCTGTCCGTGCTCGCAGGGAAGACACGTCCCTTTTTCTTGATCTCGTTCACAGGCCTTCTGCACGAAGCTTCCTGTAAAACAGAACAACAGAACAATCAGACAACAAATCAAGTGAGTGATAAACAAACACTAGCTCTGGCTTGACATCACTGATGAGATGT